CATGCATGCATTTATCCATCTATCTACTCATGCATGCATTTATCCATCTATCTACTCATGCATCAATCCATCTATCTATAAAATACACCTAAAATAGCCAGGTGTGGTGGAAACTATGGTTAAAATGGTCGATGTGCTTTGTACTTGATCCATCTATCTGTCTATCTATCTATCTATCTATAATAGCCAGATGTGGTGGAAACTGGCTTACTGGCTGTCTGTTTGTCTCTAGCTGCCTATATATCTATATTCAACTTTACTGAAATGTTAAAAATAAGTTTCACATCGTCAAAGCATTTGTAACGTCATATATTTGCACATAAACATGGACCCCATGTATGTTTTCAGGTATTTCTACTGCCATTGTTAGAAAAAGCAGCTTTTTACCTTACCCAAGCATTAGCATCTTTCTCTAAATCAAATACACATATACAAACATATTTACACACACATAAACATAAATGCGTGTATGTATATCGTGATAACTTACATCTAAACATTGACTAGCATGAACTGTCATCTTTCTCTAAATCAAATGCACATATACAAACATATTTACACACACAAAAACATAAATGCGTGTATGTATATCGTGATAACTTACATCTAAACATTGCCTAGCATTAACTGTCATCGACTTAAGTCACTCCTCCACAGGCTAATTAACCCAAATGTTCCGCTTTTTATAACCGAGGGTGTCACAAATACAGAACTAGACAAAAAAGGACTAGGCATTGTGTGTATATCCCCCTCAAAAGACTCTGGCACCATTAGCTACTTCGCAGAGACAGTTATTAGCGGATTAGCATGTCAGCTAGCAGTGAACTTTACTTCACCTGCGCTGCTGTCAGACACCGGAGGAGACGTGCGCGGCTGTCTGAGCGGCTCACCCGGGCTAAACACTGAACTTCTGATGTCTCCAGCCTCGGATGAGGAGGAGGAGGATGGTGTGCTGCTGCTGCTGCTGCTGTTGTTGTTGTTGTACATGATCTTCGTCTCGCTGATCTCCCCCGTCCGATCACAACTGTCTGTCGTCAGACGCGAATAAACACACGGATCAGATCTCAGCGGGCCGCTGTACACTACACATACACACAGAGAGAGAGAGACAGCTTCACTCTACAGTCTGCTTCTCACTTTCAACTTTACTATTTCTGTTCCTGGCATCTGTCCCTCTGTTAAAGCACTAATCACTTCCTCAGTCATTCTCCAGAAATACCAGCTGATCAGAGGAGCACTGCCATCTATTGGAAATAATTGTCAACCTAGTGGAGAAATGTTGCAGTAAATCATGGCTTCGCAAACAGATGTGGGATATTTTAAGCTTTACTTTGACAGGAATTTGACATGAAAACTATAGTTTCCGCTGAAAATACCACAGATACTACAATGATTATGTATTTTACATAAATAGAGTAAAAAAGTTTAAAAAAAAAAAATTTCAAATGATCAATGCAAAAAAAAGTTGATTAACCTTGATTTCATATGAGGCTTATCATTATTACAGCACGTTGTGAAATTGTTTAGATATAAACACAATTTAAAACTTTGATTTTTTGTTTAGAAATAAACATAAAAATTAAACAGGTTTATAAAATTTTACATAAACAAAACTGTGGTACAACAAACCTGCCTGTAACTTTCTAGTGATCCTGAAGACCTTGATTAGCTTTTGCTCAGGTGTGTTTGATTAGGGCTGAGGGCCAGAGTTGAGAACCCCTGACTTGGACTAAACTGTCTCTCATCTAGTTGGCACTAAATGTTGTTTTGTAGCAGTTATTTTACTCTAAGTCATATAATATTGTAATATTTATTAATATTAATTAAATGTATATATTTTTTTCCATTTTCAGTTTTAGTTTCTTTAATTGACATTTGATTTGCTTTTGAAATTGTTAGTTATTAATAGTTCTATTTAACTTTATTTTTACATCAGTGTTTAATGTTTTAATTTATGTATTTTTTACATTTCAGTTTACAATTATCAAAAAATAAATAAACATAAAATATTACAAAAAAAGTTTTAGCTAGCAAGTTTATTTATTTACTGATCAATATGTATTTCCCATAAATTTAAAATTGAGCAAAGCTGGCAAATTGATTCAACACTACAACGCATGTTAAAACTAATAAAATGCAACAAAATTATTCCCATCATGCTGTAGAGAGCGCCCAAATAATGTGATATCTTGGGTGTCACAATTTTAATGAATGCGTTTCATTCATGTGCTAACGGGATCACACAAAATGTTGGATACAGCTGACATTGGTTAGGATGATTTGTGATTAAAAATTGTTCATTTTTGTTAATTCAACAGTAAGACTCTTTCTTGTTTTTGTTTCATGCTCTCTGTGCCTTGCCCTGGACTTTTATGTCACTTCCTGTCTTCCGTGGTGTTTGTAGTCAGTTTGTAGTCTGTTTGTTCATTGGTTCCCCTTGATTAGTCTCCCCAGGTGTGTCTTATCTTGTTAAGCTTGTTAGCCCTAGTTTTTCTTGAGTGCCTCGTGAGTTGTTGAATGTGATGGTTGTGTTTGCCAGTCATTCTGTTCTTTGTTCCCGTTAGTTTTTACCTTATTGTTTGTTCTAGTTTTTCCATGAAATACCAGCACATAGATCCTTGCCTCTGCCTGTTTTCCGCAGCTTCTCCACAACGTTAGTTTTTCACTGGCATGTCTCTTTGACTAGTGCAAAGACTCTTTGAGCCTATATTTAGTATAAGTAAAATACTTAAGTACTGTTAAAATCAGATACTCTTAAGACTTTTACTCAAGTTGTTTTGGAATTGGTGACTTGTAACGTGTAGTGGAGTAATTTTCACTGTAAGGTATCTGTACTTTTACTCAAGTATGGTTTTTAGGTGCTCTTTACACCTCTGATGACGATGCTGTTAAGGTTGAGAAGGACAAAACCATTTCGAGAGAGTAAAATACAAATATTTGATACTTAAAACTACTTTTTTTGTTTCATGTGGGATGCCACATTGTTTCCATCTGTCGATTCACACATTCATGCCAGTTTAGAGACTCAACCCATCTTTAATTTAGGTTCAAGAATCAATGTTTTTGGTCCTGCTGGTCTTATTTTACTCTGATCTCCTGGAAACATTGATTTGTTTCAGTGTGATCCACTCACTGATCTATAATAGAGATTATATAGTACGTACAGTCAGATCAGTGGATCCACCGAGAATTGACATAGCGCTTCTCAGCACTCGTTCTCGTTTAGTCACTGCAGTAATTCCCATTTGTGTTATTTGTATATTTTAACCGTATGATTGGAATACTCATCAAGTAATTTTCAATGACTGCCGCACACCTTACTTAACTTTGCACAGTAAAAACACTGAAACCACAGAAAGAATAAAACACCTTTTAGTATTTCATCTATTGCTTTTACAAAAATTGTATCATGCAAGTAATCACAAACAGGCAAATAATACAGATCTCGGAAACAATAATGGAGTTTCTCTCTTCACATTGAGTTGCATCAGTTACATCATATTGTGCAATTATTTCCCATCAGCCTCCTGCTGTCCTCCTTTCTTTTTCTTCTTCTTGTTTTGTTGCTGCTGTGTTTTGGCTTTCTTCGTGGCCGGCTGATTTTGTGTCTCTTCTCCTTCTCCTCCCTGCTGTTTCCTCTTCTTGTTCTTCTTCTTCTTCTCTCCTGATGCTCCTTCAGGGGTTTCTGGTGTCTCTTTTCCCTCCAGGACGGTGGGCTTCTTACGGTTCTTGCGTTTCTTCGTCTCAGGAAGGAACCCTTTCTTCTTCTTCTTCTTTGTGGTCTCTTCTGTCTGCTCTGCCTCTACAACTTTCTTCACCTTTTCCATCTTTGGCTTTCTAAAATAAAGCAAAGGAAGTGAGACATTAAAGACAGGTTCATCATCAGTTAAATCTGCTGGAAATTGTTTAATACTTGAAAAGAAAAATATTTTACTATGTAATAAAAACTACTTTTGTTATGTAATACTTTAAACATGAAAGATACTTCACGTATTTCACTTTTGTCTATTTTTATTTGGAACATCATGGACACGAACCAAAAGATGATTATTCATTAGCAAACAAATGTAAAATGATGCTGAAAATATAGCTTTGATCACAGGAATAAACTACATTTAAAAATATATTAAAATAGAAAACAGTTATTTGTTAAAATTGCACTAATATTTCACCCTGTTTTTTTTTTTTTACTGTATTTTATATCAAATAAATGCAGCCTTGGTAAGCATGAGAGACTTTTCCCCAAATTTCTGAATGGTAGTGAAGCATACACATACACATTTAAAATGATAATCAAAACAGATTTGAATAACGTGACTCACAGAATGTAAAATAACTTCATCACGCTCCAGTACGTGTCCTCTAGCTGTCCTGGTTTCTGCAGGCTTCCTTCAGCGTTTATGGACTTGAGAACTTTCTGAAGGAGCTCCAGATTAACCGGCATCTTCTGCTCAGAAAGAAACAACGTGGGTTAAAAAAACAAACAAAAAAAAAAACACACACTTGAGAATACCTTGTAAAAGCAGAAGGTTTAGTAAAAACATCGATTCATTACCTGATTGTGAACGGATCTGACAAGATGCTGACAGAGCTCTAGCGCCTTGACTATCTT